TATAAATATAGAGAAATTACAAACATGAAGACAGAGGACACGTTGAACCAGAGATGAAGGTGAAAACATGTGAATGCTGATGAAAAGTCACTGTAATCAATTCAACTGCATAAAATTAAAAATTAAATCATAGAGAAAAAAGAAATCAATGATAAAAACAYGTAGGATTAGATTGATAAAATACCATACATGCTATTAATTACTACAATAAAAGAATGAAAGACAAAACAGACATTTAAAAAATCTTTTAATTGTTAAAATCAAGCAAGAGTTCATAACAAAGAYGAAAAGTCTCAGAAGGTCCTTAACCGACAGGATGGCAGGAGAATGATGAATGAATGAACGGATTAGGGCAGGGCAATACAGGAATATTCACCTTTTATTTATTTATATAAACTCTCAGTGTTGAACTTTGTTAAAGTATAATTATTAATGCCTTTAAAAACTAAACTGTGCGATTGAGTGAAAGAGTTTTAGGATTGCCCGTCCCTAAAACAGAGCGAGACAGGATGGATGGGTGGGGGTGGGGGGTGACGTGGTAGTAGTCGTATTGTTAGTTACTAACAGTGATCTCCGCGGTGCACTGCGGACAGCGTTGACCCCTTACCGCCTCCTGCGACTGGCTCTTGCTCATGATGGACAGAAGGGTCTGCAGGAGGACGTCCAGCAGGGACTCCACCATCATCTCCACCTCTTCCTGCACCGACGTGTCCTGGAGGAGATGATGTGAAAAAAAAGGTGAAGGGAATGTTACAAAATGCAGAGGAGACTGGGGATTCTGATGTTATCAGTCCATGAAATGGACGTTATTGGGCATTATCAGTCCCATCCAATGGCTTCAGAGGGTCCCTGCTGTGCCTTCTGGGCTTTCAGGCTGTCCYGACAGTGCCCYCTAGTGGRTTAGTATATTAATGACAATGAATGTGTAAATAACCAAAACATATAGTATTAATTTTTTTTGTATACGTGTTGTACTCAAACCCTAGTCTACCACTCTCTGATCCGACACTCTACCCATTGCCCTATTGGAAGGCCACAATATGCATTCGTCGGAGGTTAGTGCTAACCACGTCATCTGCTCTAAGGTTAACCTTGGTGGCTTTAAGCCTCATATTAACCAGCTGACAATCGGAARCCATTCTATGGGACGGGGAACCTGCTAACCGGCACAGGCGGGACATTATGAAGCCTTTCTAGAGGACTGATAACACCTAATAACGTCCATTTCATGGTTGATAACATCCGAAGCGGGTGCAGGAGAGAAGAAATGTGGGGAGGAGGAAGTAGAAATAATAAAAGGAAAACAGAAGTTTAAAAAAGGAAAGCAAAAAAATGATGTAAATGAGTTTGACACCCTGATCATACCTGTATATCATACCTGACCCCCTCCAACTGGATGGACATTTAAATATGTGTGAGAACGAGTTTTRTTAATATAAAACACATAACAGTGTAGAGTGTGTGTGTTACCAGTGAGCTGCTCTTGATGATGGAAAATATGGAGCTGAGTATTCCTGAGCAGATCAGCAGCTCTTTCTGTTGCCTCAGATGGAGATGGATGTGATGCAGGACCACCGGGAGCAGGATCCTCCGAGACTCTGAGTGCAAACACACAAACGCCTGTTAAAGAGTCGCTCATTATTTGCATTTTAAAGCWTTTTACACTCAGAATTTAAATTAGCAGATTACTGTAAACTGATTAAAAGTGATTAAAACAACGTTGGTTTTAATGAACTCACCAGTGATCTACAAATCCTGGTTTTCTTTAGCTCGTTTTTGCTTTTTTTTTTTGTTTTAATTTTAAAAACACACAAAGCTGTTWTGTCATGAAGTAATAACAATCAGAGGAGGATAATGTGACGTGTTTATGATAAGAGTCGTTTTTGAAACATTTACCAGGGAAGGAGAAGAGCCTGCTGTCCACGGTTCGAGCGATGGACTGCAGCTTGACCACGTCCATGGACTGGCCGATGTGGACTGTAGATGGCATGCTGCCCAGAGTRCCGCGCACGAACTCTGCCACCTCCTGAACCGTGAACATCTGCAGCAGCTCGTCAAAGATGGCCGGGAACGAGTTCAACAGAGCCGCCTGAAGAGAGGCGAGAAAAACAAAAAAGAGTAAACGACAAGATGAGGAGAAGAGTCGCAGGAAAACGCAGAGGTGGAAGAAGAAGGTTAATGATGTCAGTTTGTGTGACTGTGATGGAGAGAAGACATGTCCGTGGTTTCTGTGGAACAACAGAGATGAGTCAGAGCGATCACAGAGAGAAACTGATGGAATCTTTTCATCTCACACAGGTGTGCACCTGAGCAGCAAACCACCTTCTTCACAAGCTCTGTTAGGTTTCAAACAGGCTTTAATCGTTTCAAAAGAAGCTTCAAGCTCAAGCAGCCAAACAAAATAATTCATTTCTTTATTAAGTCAGAGCTTTYTGGAACACAGCTGTTCACCTGGTCTGAAGGTTCCAGGAAAATGAGCCAATTACAAGATCGAAGGAGAAATATTAAACAGACAAAAGGAGTAAAATTATTTCAAAAATCTTGTCAGGGAAAAGTGAGATCATTTATAATTCATAAGCGTGATGAAGAACACAAGGACTAAGTCACTAGACGGTTTGAGGAAATTATTTAAAAAAGTGAAGGAGTTTGCAAAAAATATGTTTTACATTTTGTAAAAATCAACTCGACATAGCCATGTTGAGATGTTGATATTATGCAAAAGTGGTAGGTGACTTACTTTTTGTTAGGTTTTCAACCATAACTGATACGATATTATTTTTGATTAGAACACTGATTAGATGTTGGCGTTTTAATCATTAGAATTCAGCCATGAAACATTGATTCAGTAACATCTTTTCAACATTGGTCCTTTGGTTAGAATTGGATGATTGTTTGATGGTTGATTCACCATCAATCGTCAAACTCAACCAAAAATCAACTTTTTGACCATAATTCAACACTTTTGCTATCTGGAAGGTCAGAGTTGTGATGTCTAAAAGGTGCAGGACAAACTAAATTTAACAAAGTTTTTCTGCACTCACTGCATTTTCACACAAAAATAATTAAATAAATAAAAATTATTTATTTGCAAAATGTGCTTTATGGCAGTCCAAGTTTTCTTAGATGCTTAAGTTTGTATTAATGTCTTCATCACATGTATTATATAAAAAAATAATCATTTAGTGTCGTGCCACATATATCTGAGCAAAAACAAATCCTCCATCCGTTAGAATGAACATCAAAAATCCACTGTAATAACTTTAAAGGGGACATTTCTGCAAAATCCCCTTTTTTAGYTGTTAAATACATTTTGGTGTGGACTTGGAGGCTCTAAGGGGCAGAAAAGTTTAATTTAGTCACTCCTGGTTCTTCAAAGATACAGTATGTTTATATTTTTTGGGTCACATTTTTCAGCCCGTTCAGTTTTCTCTGTTTTCTATGATGTTTTCTGAACTATTACATCAAATTATCTGCAATGGAATTACCAATTTAGGTTTGGACTTACCAACTACAATTTCCTCGTCTTAATTCTCCTCTGGTTCTGGGTCAGACTCTGGTTCTGGTTCTGGGTCAGACTCTAGCTCCAACACGTAAGGCTGGATGCACAAGTCTTCCCTTGTTGAAATATTTTAATTTCATTGTAAATAAAATGTTTCTAGAAAACACTAACCCACTCTCTCAAGCTGGAGTGGACCAGTCTGGAAGCCGGAGGGGGCGGGGCTTGAAGTGTCTTAAAGGAACAGTAACAAAACGAGCTGCTTTGAGACACACAGCAGAAACGTTGTRAAAGAGAAGCTGGTAGAGTTAGACTAAGGAGGAATTCAGACCAAAACTTTGTAGTTCTACTTTATAAAGACCCAACTGAATGATTTAAATGTGAAAAGGAAGGATTTAAAAGCAGGATATGTCTACTTTAAAATCTATTTAACACACTATAACTGTATAGAATAACTGCTATTTAATATCCTTGTTCTTGATACATATAATTGTATGAAACAGTCTGTGAATTATGTATTAAAATGATGCAAATATGTATTTATAGCAGTTTTTAATGGGGAGTAGTTAAATAGGAGACGTGTGAGATGGTTTGTAGGACAGATGTGACTCGGTGCAGAACAATCAGGCTGTGCAGGATCACAGGTGTGTGTTGTCAGACTCACATACAGCTGAAAACACAAGCAGTGACTCTGAGTTTCACACAACAACTGGGACTCGTTGGTTTCTTTCAGACGTCTACTTACTGACAGAGGCGGCGGCCGCAGAGCGTTGGAGCTCGAGGCCTGAGAGCAGCCGAGCGGCCCGCTGTTAGGAACCTGTCCCGGGACCGAGGTCTGGGTTTGGCCCAGAGCTGAGATTAGTGTTAAGGGAGTGGCGGGCCCAATTATGGGACATGGAGCCAGATTTGAGCCCGGACAAGGCTGGGAGCCCTGCGGTGCGTGGGTAAGGAATCGGGACCCGATTGAAGGGAAATCAGGGCAGATCGAAAGAGAAAGTGAGGAACGGAGGAAAGGAAAGGTCCAAGGTACAAAAAGAAACAGGTGAGGAAGGAGATAGAAGTCAAACAAAAGCAGCTAGGAGGTGATGGAAAACAAACTGAGCTACATGAAGATAAACAGAAACTCACTGAGGGGTTGCTTTGCTCACCTGGGTGAAGATGAGGGTCTCGGAGTTGCGGCTGTCCAGGCTCAGGACGAAGCGGATGGATTGAAAGAGCTCCTGGATGCTGGTGCGAAACTGCTCCTCCTCCATGCCGCAGGTGGCCCGGGAGTACAGGATCCGGGACTGGATGATGAACTTAAACAGATACTCCAGGGCCTGAGGATTGTTTGTGTGCGACGAGAAATAAAAGGGAGGAAAAAGTCGAATCTTGTAAAATGATCCAGTCTGGTTGGTTATACTGTGTTTATAGTTGTACTGATGTTCATTAAATAAAACCAGGCTTCATCTCTCACCAAAAACTTCTTACATGAAAGAGAACTGAAGGAAATAAAGCGAGCCGACAGAAACAAGCTCAAACCAAGTGAGGCTTCTGAAAAATGAATAAAAAAGTCTGATTCTGAACCCAGAAGCTGCAGGATGTGTCAAAACTGTCCTCAATTATTCACACCGTCCACTTCTACATGACAGTGTGACCCATTTGGGATGAATACTTGAGTTCAATTAATATTTTAAACCGTTGAGCAGCTTTGTTGGATAAATTTTGAACATTTTTTAAAAATTGCACATTTTTAAAAGCCTTTTTTTTTCCTGCAAAACTGAACAGTCTGCTGTTTGTCCAAAAAGCAGAGACACCAAACAGAAAACTGAACGTTTGAAAAAAGTTCCTTTAAAACAAAGCAAATTTATGTGTTATTAGATAAATCAAAGCAGATGCAGAGATGTTTGAGAATTGTTAAACTAAAGATTAAGGTCTTTATGTTGGAGTAAATCAGAGCAACATGTAGGTTTCTGTCAGCCTCTATGTTCAGCTCTGTGTTTGCTGCTCAGAGTGATAAAACCCACTGACAGCAGCTTCCAGCTGCTTCTCACCCTCATGGCTTCCTGGATGTGGTCCTGTCTGACCACCTCGGCCGAGCGGYCCATGTACCACTTCAGACAACGGATCAGCTCTCTGAAACACAAACATGTAACGGTCAGTGGTCCTGATTTTAGATTTCAGAATCTAATCTGTACATTTGAGCTTGTTCTAGATTCATTTCACTTAAAACATGTTGTGAAGACGACACTGTTGATTGTTGAGAGAGTTTTAAATGAACAAATTCTACTACTTTTTCAGCTAATAATGCACATATATTAGTAAATAGTTGCTAATTTCTACATGTCAGTAGTGTTTTAATAGTTTTTCTGAGGGAAGCATTAACTTTATTTGGTACCACTTTATAATGAGGCTCCCCTTGTTTATGGCTTATATTTATAAGCCATAAACAAGTTATTAATTCTGTTTTTGTGTGACAGCAGCAGCACAAACACTTCCTGACTGCATCTCAAACAGGAGCACCTAATAAAAGTGTAAACATAATAAGTTGTTGTTTTTTTCTTTGAACCATCTGCAAAAAAAAATGGCATTAAGACGAAACCAGGAAGTAAAGCTGTGGATTAAAGAGATTAAAAAATAAGCTCTTTGAGAAAAAGGGTTGAAACTGATTTGAATGATATTCTCTGTTTGTTTATCATTACGAGCCTCATTTCTTTAACTTTTATTTCTTTTGTACATTATTGTTTGTATTTTAACCCTGTTTTATGTCAGCTATAATAAAAGAAAAAAAACAGGCTGCTGTAAAAATAGAAAACAAATACTAATTATCATAATTCCCTTTTTCCCCCGATTCACTTTGAATTTTTCTGCACATGCAGAGAAAATCTGTCAGAGAAAAAGGAAAGGAGGAATCAAAACGGTTGCAACATGCTACAGACACAATAGACTGACTAAATAAATAAATAAATAAATAAATAAATAAATAAATAAATAAATAAATAAATAATGTTGTAAACATAGTGCAGGAACTGACTTATAGGCCAGAGCTCCAGCAAAATGTTTCTGGATGTATGTGTCCATCACCGGCCTGAAGTGGTAATATTTACTGTCCCTGAGCAGGTTGATGATGAAAACCTGAAAGAGAAGAAACAGAAAGAATCAATGAATGAGTGAGGCAATGAGGTATTTAAAGAAAAGAAACATAAAAATGTTAAACTGTTTAGACATGAAAGAAAGGATCAACAGATACAGATACGGTTTTTCTATYTGAATTTGTGCTTTGAGAACATGTTTTATTTCATAAATCAACAAATTCTCAAGTCAGGAACCTGATGTCAGTTTGTCTCAGTTTGTGTTGTTGTTAAAGATCTGCAGCTGACGRCAACTTTTACAACAAAATCTCATCAGTTTTAGGTTTTATTTGATGAGTTTGTGTTTGCAACATTTGGACACTCGACAACAAACCTAAATMAAACTAACGTTTCATTTCTGTTACTAATCTGTCCTCAGTTTGATGACTTTTATGTAGCTCTGCTTTAAAATATTTCTTTGATTTACTTGTTTTTTTTCCCTCTTTTGTTTGTGTTCACTTACCAAAGACTGGAACACGAGGGGTCCATATTTGTCTGTGTTGTCATCCAAGATGGAGAACAAAGTGTCCAGAATGTCTTGGAGAAACTGGAAGACAAACATGTCGTTACACTAAAACCTGTTGGATTATTGGGAACAGGAAGCTGATTGGAAGTTGATGGTTCATCATGTGGCTGCAGAAAAACAGACATTTTTACAGTCTAATAATAGATAAAACACAATGAGTCATTGTGTGTCCAGCTTTAGAGAAAACGGAGCGGTTTGTTGAGAAACTAACACATGATGCAAGAGCCAGCAAACCCTGTCCTGTTAGTAACACWGACGGTTCTCTTCATTGTGACCTGGTTATCTGAACAATCACAGCTGATAGCTGCTTGTTGCAGYGATGGAGGCTAAATTAAACATATGCAGTTTGTCTTTTTTTCAGTGTCAGATTGACTCAAAGGTCAGAGTAAAGGTCATCGCTGACGGCTCCGTCAGCCCTGACTGAACATGGCAGCCTGATGGTCTTCATCAAGCCACTCATCCACTCTGCTGTTTGAAATCTACTTCACAGAAATGGGGGAGAAAAAGTCATTAACTGCAGATAAATTAAACAGTGTTGAAATGGGCTGCCAGTAGTTTCACACCTCAGATGACAYGAGCTGCCAGACGACACTCTTTAAATCCCATAACTGGGACAAGGACAGGAAATGATGGCCTGCAGACATCACACGACGGCACGAGACGCCTCTAAACAGCGTCAAAACACTAAAATTAAAACAACTAACTAAAGAACAATAAATCTGTCAGGGTAGAAGTGTTTCACCTAAATATTTTCTTCTCCAGTCTGGTGTGWGAAATTATTCTAATTCTCAGTTTTTCATACAATGTGTCTAGGATCTATTATGTTTTGATGAAATAAAAAACAGAATAATAAAACCTGTCTGTCTTTGCATTGCTGTCAGACTGAACCTCACCTTGACTATTTCCTCTCCGCTGACATGTCGAAGACGCCCGAGGATGTCCATGACCCGGTCAGGATGAGCCTTCCACTTCAGCAGAGCCAGCAGGTCCACTGAAACAAACACATGTTCAGAATTTAAAAGAAAAAAAACTGTCGCCTTGTAGCAAATCTTCTGTATCTTCAGGATAATTGTTCTCTGTTATGAAGTAACAGGAGCTTAAATTATTTTTTCTGTTTATTATCAGTGGCTGCTGAAAGGTTGCCTGGATGGATGGATGGATGGATGGATGGATGGATGGATGGATGGATAACGGATGGATGGATGGATGGATGGATGGATGGATGGATGGATGGATGGA